ATGCAATAGTTAAGTACTCATATTTGACAAATAAATTTTTAACAAAGCACATGGGTTCCCTTACCCACCTCGAGATACACATATTTGACAAATAAATTTTGTTATGTACTCCTGTATCTAAATAAAATCATGCAATAGGTAAGTACTCATATTTGACAAATAAATTTTTTTATGTACTTCCATATCTAAATAACATCACGCAATAGGTAAGTACTACTTGGTCAACGCCGGATATCTCTTGCAGAGGGACTTTCTTAAGTTGTATCCAAATACAAAGTATCATATCCCATATTTTGAAAGGTCAAGCGGAGTTGCACGTAGAAAGAAAGAATTATTCACTAAACGACATTCATCATTACGCGCGTAATCGAATGATCATTCGGAGTGTGGAAGAATAAATGAGTTATATTGCATGATATGCCCACTTATCCTTTTTTGAAGCAGGTCCAGATAGTAGTGGCCACCATGACACTACATAACTTTATTAGAAGGCATCCCTCAAGAACTGATGCAGAATTTGTCGTGGTTCAAGAAAATTTAATGCAAATTCCCCCCAAAGCATTTGAGTTCCATGTGGGATGCACCATACCACAACTTGATATGAATTCACTTGAAACAAACACCAGAGATGGTGAAGGGGCATAAAAAATGACAACTCTGAGAGAGCGAATAGCGGACGACATTGTCAAAACATGTTAAGTAATGTATTTTAAAGTTTAGCTAAACAATTACATATGCTTTCTTATATGTTATATAATGGATTTACATAGTTTATGTTGATATTATGGGTAAGCATTTCTGTAAGCACTATCTGTTGGCAGTAACCATTTCTCTTAATTTTGGTAACTGTTACTTCTCTGCAGTTTTTTCCTACTACCTCTGTTTGGTGTGGTAGATGCATAACTGGATGGTATTTCCTGCAGGGTTCAATTAGTATGAGTAAATGTGAATTAAGGATTTGTGTGGTAAGATGATCTTCTGTAATAATAACCTGGGCAAGCATTTATATGGCTGCTATTATATGGCAACATTTGTATGGCTGCAATTATATGTTGTAACTGTTGCTCCATATGTCAAGGTGTCCAATTTTATTTTTTTTTGGTTACCTTCAAATCATTTTTGTGTGTTATTTGATGTACCTTAAGCTCTTTGCGTTGGTGCCACCATTTATGTGTAGAAAAAAGACTGCAAGGGAGTAATACAGACTAAAGGTATTTATCGTCTTGTTTGCTTCTTATCACACTTAGGCATTGAATTATGCAGATGAATGCAAGTTATTCTGATTGATTAGCTTTAAATAGAAATGTATATTAGATATGCATTTATTTTTAGCCCTTATTTGTTGGTGAGGGGTGTGACCACCTCTGGAATAATATAACTTTGATATCACAATACAAGTTCTAATTAGCTTTATAAACTTATGAGGCTTATAACTTTGGTGTCAGTTATTAAATAAAATGGTATTTGTCCATCTCGTGCAGCTTGGTGTGACATGTGCAGCTTGGTGTGACATCTATTGTGACATCTATTTGAGGGAGTTCCAGCTTTTTGAACCATCTTTATTTCGACAATCTGTTACTGCTACCTTATGATGTTTGCAGTGAACCACTGAACCTGTACCTGTTCCAGTGAATAGTGGTTATTTCATTCAACATTATATTAGAAAAATGTGTCATTTCTGTTTTATTACTTGACTGCATTAGAATGGTAATGTGGTAGAGTCTATGCAATTCTGCATTTAAATGGTTGGGCAATTTATTACTTTCCATTGAAGATTGGTTGGAGAGTGTGGTTGTGAGCACATATTACATCTTCAAATTCTCTCTTCTATGCTTTTCTGGAAATCGTAGCTGTCTGAAAATCATGGCTTTTGGATACAAGTGAGGCTAAGCATGTACAAATTTCATTGAACATAAAGGGTGTTCCTCTCATTGCAGCTTGGATGACCCATCTTATTTTAGGACAACCGCTACTTCTACGACACAATAGTTGGCACCATCCTTATATTTTTTATGTGATAGGAGTTAGTTTGCCTGTAAATGTAGTTTCTTATGTGATTCTATGAAAGGCCATGTCAGATATGAATGCTTATCAATGTTTTCTTTTTTTTTAGGCTTTTTAAGCAAGATAATTATATTATTGAATAGTGAATTGCTATATGAATGAAATTGATAAGCTAATAATCATAAATCAGTTAGATATAGCAGTGGTAGGACATTTCAGTAACTAATGACCATTCACCTATATTAGCAGGATACAAAGGGTGTTCGACCATAGTTTTTGTCGAATTTGTAGAATGAATTTTGTTCCATTGTTAAGTGGTATAGGAAAGAATCTGATAAAGACTGTAGTTCATTGGAAACTACCAGGAGTCATACAGAAGTAGAATCGAAAGGGGTGCTGGTACCTGTTGATTTGATTTTGCTTCCTTCTCCAAAATGCACTGCAATTAACGAAAATTATGCTATTGTTGATTTGTTGGAATCTCTTTTGTTCCATTGTGCATGTTTGCTGGATATAAATTCCATCCTTACATCTGGGATGGAGCCTGTTGGGTCTCATTATAATACATGGCTGTTATATATTACATAATGAGCTGCAGCTGTGTTGTACTGACTTCTCATAGTGTTGAAATAGGTTGGCTTCTCCATACTTCAGTAAGTATATTTTTAATATTTCCTCAAATTTTTTACTGATCTATTCTCTTTTTATTAACTGTAGGATGATGAGTTCCATATATTTAGGGAAGTCCTGGCAAGTGATGTGCCTGTGCGGGCTACCGACCTTGCTACTCACATCACACCATCCACATAGCTACGAGAGGCAATTTTACAGGTGCCCGCAGTGGACATAAGGACAGGAGGACTGCACTTTCTTCAGGTGGGCCGACAGTACACCTCTTTCTATGAAATCCCAACAGGACACCGCTGCTCGGAGTTCGTCGGTCTCACAATTTCAGAACACCGCTCTTGGTTCTAGTGCTTCCATTTCTACGGTATCTCAGTCGGACATGTTTGCTCTGGGTTCTGGAGTGTCAGAGCTGGGCAGCATGGGCCCTGATATGCTGCTATATTTTAAAGTCAACATTATTATTTTTTTTTATAATTAAGTCAACATTATAATTTTTTTCCTTGTAATTTTAACATGTTATCTTTTCTTCTTTTTTGGGTATCATTATAATAAATATTCGTGTGTTAAGTTGTATTTCACTTTTTTTAGGTAATTGTGTTTCTGTGATGTGATCTAAAATGTTTAAGTGATATAAATATTTTGTATTTTCATTTCTTAAAATTTGAACTTCAATTTTAAGAATATTTTGTATTTTCATGTTCTTCAATCTTCACATTTATCTCCCCTTTATGATTACATTAAGAAGGTTGGTAAATTTGTAAAAAAAATTGCAAATAAGCTGTTTACAAAACGCACGAACCCAACAACTAAACAACTTATTTAGAACAGGGGCAAATTGGTCATTTATCCAGAATCAACTGTTCTCAAAATGCATTAACCAAACAGCCAGCCAGCTTATCCGGATCAGCTGCTCATCAACAGATTATCAGAATAAGCTGCTTATCAACAGAAGTTTGATAAGCTGCAGCTGCCCCAAACAGACCCTTATAGTGTCTAAGTAGAAAAAAAGGAATGAATCAGATCCAGACCACCCTTGCTTGGATGATACAGAGAGATCCCTTGATTGGACAAAATTCTAAGGACATTTGAGTGTCTTAATGAAATCATGATTAAGGGATCTTGTGCTTGTTAAATTTATTTTATTAAGATGCTCTGTTTGACTATCAAGTTGCCAAATTTAAAATACATTTGACCTTCCAATTATGCTTAAAAAATCTCCTAAAAGTGGTTTAATGATTTGATTGAGGCTTGATTTGATTTAGATTGTCAAACTTTGGTACTGTTAAGTTCGTCTCGACGAACATGTCATTTTGACCGAGTTTTTTGAAATCAAAATTCTTAATGAGTTTTAGTTAAAATTTGAATGTTTCTTTTTCAAAAAGTTACTTGGAGATCTATGTCATATCTTGAGATTCATGTCGAATGATGAAAATTTATTGATGGTGTAAAAAACAAATATATATTAATTTTTAAAATTTAATTCAAATTTATTAAATAATTTAAGCAAAAAACAAAAATAAAACTCTTATTTATAGCATTTCATGAGTATAATCATATATAGGGGTGTAAACTAGTGAGCTTGGGCTCAACTCGTGTTTGACTCGTTAAAAAATATCAATGTTCGTGTTTGACTCGTTTATATTTCAAACACAAAAAAATTTTTCGTTTGACTCGTTTGCTTAGCGAGCCGAACACGAGCTACTTGCGAACAAAAAAACCATTTTGACAACCTTATTCATGCATGTAGTTGTTAGGGGTGTAAGCAAACCGAGCTTGAGCAAGTACAGACTTGGGTTGTTATAAAATATCATTGTTCGTGTTAGGATCATTTATATATCAAGCTCAAATAATTTGTTTGTGTTTGACTCACTTGCTCGGTCCCAATAATTTTTCCAAACAATGAGCTATTTTGACAATCCTAATCACACAACCGTAGAATGTTAACGATAAAGTGAGATTTAAATTTTGTTATTTATATTAAAATATTCATTTAAATACAATTTAATATAATTTTAATTAGAAATTTTAATTGATTATAAATCTTGGTAGCATTCTAGTATATTAAATTATTTACATATTTATATATACATATATATATATATATATGTATATATAAATATAATTAATTTGAGCCAAAACAGGTCGAACATGAACGAACAAAATTTTGTTAGTGTTCGGTGGTTTATATATCGAGCATAAAATATTTATTCGTGTTCGGTTCATTTATATATTGAGCGTAAAAAAATTATTGGTATTCGTCTCATTTGCTTATTGAATAAATCAAATACGGACAATTTGACAATTTAATGAGCCAATCATAAACCGTTAGTGGAAAAAAAAAAAAAAATCTATTTTGACAGGAACAGTGGGATACCTCCCTCGGCTAAAATTGTCATTTATCGATCACCGGCCAGCCACATCACTCTTCCCTGCAGCAACCCAGTCCTGTTCGAGCCCTGTTATTCTCGCGCTTCCCCCACTCTCACTTAGCTCCGGAGTTTCCTCCCTAGCGACGCCGTCAACTTCGCGGTCCTCGGCTTCGGTGCTTCCAATTTCATCGCCATCTGTTGCCATCGTGTTCGCGAATCACACGCTCGGACTGCCACGCACCCGCCGGAGATGAAGGCTAAAAGCATTCCTTTGGTCTTTTTTGACCATAAAAGGCGAGATTCTTGACATTCCCGGTGTAGGATTTCTACTTTGTCCGACAATTTTTCTAGTGCAGTTCGAGATAACCAGCCTTGAGTCTCTTTGCGTTTTGTTTGATTGATTTGTAGGTATTTTTGGCGAAATGTGGCTCGTGTTTCCCGTGCTGGGGGGACTGGCTTGGGAATTAGGGGCTTAGGTCTCATACGGTAGGCTTATAGGGCGCGGATTAGGGGAATAATTCTGTTTTTTCTGTTGTTTCATTTCGCAAGGCACTTAATAAGTTGACTCTAAGTGGGGTTTTAATGGGTTTTTTTTTTAATGATTTGGTTTCATGAAGAGATTTTTTGCTTGAGCTTTGACGTTTTTTATGCTGATAGCTTTGGAGAGAGGTTTTGGATATCGGTTTGCTTTTTTGTTTCTGATTTGATGTTCATCGATCTGATCAGGGATCCGTATGGATTTACTGTGCGACCTCAACACTTGCAGAGATACCAAGAGTATGCTAACATCTACAAGGTAATGTTTTCTCTGGGATTGGTTTTTTTAGGTTTATAACTTATTGCTTATTCTTTCTGAAATTACGTTTTTTGCTGTTATACTTCCAGGAAGAGGAGGAAGAGAGATCAGATCGATGGAAGAAACTTCTTGAGAGCCAACCACAGCCCCACCATGTTCTTGCCGCAGAGGAAAGTGAAGCTGCGTTGCGGATCGATGCAGCTACTGGATTGGACGAAGATCGAGATCATATCGGAAATAAAATAATTGACGGCGGCAAGGAAACTGCCGAGCGGAAAGAGCCAGTGGAAACCGAGGAGAGGGCACATAAAATTAAGATTTGGTCTCATATTAGACCTTCTCTTGCTGCAATTGAGCAGTTGATGAGCCATCGTGTGGAGAAGAAGACATACTTGACAAGTGACAAGGGAGATGCAGGGAGAGCTGCAAGCAGGGCTGATCCGAGTGAACCTCCCAAGCCCTTGGAGGATTCCGAGGACGAGTTTTATGATCTAGAGAGATCGGATGTGAACCAGGAGGTGTCTTCGGATTACTGCAGTGGTGCTGATTCATCCTTCAATATGGATAATCTGGCAGCAGTGCTGGAGCCTTCTACCCTTTGGAAGGAAGAACTGGAATTCCTTGTTCGTGGTGGTCTGCCAATGTCTCTTAGAGGAGAGGTGGTACTTTTGCGTCAAAGCGTGCTGCTAAATCAGGTCTGTTACCCGCTGTTTACTTAACTACTTCTAACTACTTTTGTGGCTACAGATATGGCAGGCCTTTGCTGGCATTAGAAAGCGCAGAGAGGAAGGGTATTACCAAAAATTGCTGGGTTCAGGAACCAACATTGTTGATAGCAATAAAGTTGATGGTCTTGCTTTGAATGATGCTACTGTTGCCCCAAAGAAACGGAATGCAAGTCCATCTGAGAAATGGAAGGGGCAGATTGAGAAGGTAACTGGATGAACAGATTTTCAAAGATTAGATTGGGGATTCAGTTAACATGCTAAAGCCATTGTAGATAAAGCAGGAGCTTGAGAAAATTTGATTTGCATGTTATGTGTTTACAAATCACAGGACTTACCAAGGACGTTTCCTGGACATCCTGCATTGGATGAGGATGGAAGAAATGCTCTTAGGCGGCTACTCACGGCTTATGCTCGGCATAATCCATCCGTTGGTTATTGCCAGGTAGAGCAGCTATAAATTAGAATATAAATTCTTACTACTTCTATTTATCATTAATTATTTTGTTGGTGACTCAGACTGCAGTCTTAGTAAATTAATACCTATTGAGCTGTCTTTTGAGTAGCTATTTTAACTTTTTTGACTCACGTTTCTTGTTACTTAACGCAAAACTTTATTTTGGTTTGGGAATGTTGAGTGTGGAGACTATCTCCGCGACGTACCTATGCCAAAACTGGCATAGTTACTTCGCCCAACATAACTATGCCGCATCCGGGTGGAGCTACGCTGGTTTTTCGCTCGTTCTAGGAGCGATCGACTGAGCGATTAAACAAATTACGCCTCTTCTAGGTTTATGTATGCCACCGAGACAGTTTCTCCTATTCGGTTCTTAGGTTTTTGATTTAGAGCGACGATCTCACTTTCTGTTGCGTGTGCTGTTTCTCGATAGTTCTTTGTGAAGGGGAATTGTAGATAGGGTGATTTTGGAGCGAAGGCTTTCTCTTGTGAGATCGCGTAAAAGGTTTGGAGCAAAATTTCGTAAGTTCCAGTGATTGCAATGAGAAAATATGAGTGGTGTAATGTCTGTACATTTTTCCCATTCATAGTGGAATTTTGGTATTATGTGGTTACATGATTTTTTCTCATTTTTGGGGTTCTCATTTTAAATTTTGATGTGTTTTTCTTAGATTATTTTGTTGTGCTTCTATTTATTTTTTTGTTTTAGATTTCTCGATTCAGTGTTTCTATTTTTTATGGTGTGGTTTTAATTGTGAACTAATCGAAGCTTTTAGTAATTCTCCTTCTCAACAAGTACTATCAGAAGGTAGTGTTTGATTTGAGTGGGAGCAATAGTTCACGAATTGAGACACATAGTGGAGTAGTTAAACAGATCTAATTTCATATTCTGAAGAGCACAAGTAGAAGATATGCTGTATCAGAAAAAATATATTTTCCACTACAAGGAATCATCTAGATGTTTGAATTGATAACTTTGAAGGAATGGGAAGTGCTGGATCGAACCACTTTAAGTTTGATGTGTTTGTCGCTTTCCTCATTTGTTGCATTCAACACAGTAGACGAGAAAATCCTAATGGATCTCATGACTGCACTAACAAAGATGTATGGAAAACTTTTTTGCTTCAAATAAAATTTTTCTAATAAAGAGGTTTTGTTGGATGTAGTTGGGGATTAATTGGCTGTGTTTTTTGTTGCTTTGGTCGCGGTGTTGTTGTTGGGTTTGCTCTGGTTTAGGGTTTTTGTTGGTTGTGGTTGAGGTTGCTCTGGCTGGGTTTTGTTAGTTATTGTTGAGGTTGCTTAAGTATTGGTTGTGTTATATTTTTAGACCAATTTATTATAACTTTGGGTTTTTGTGGCATGCAATATGTGTGTGAAATACATGATTTGGTAATTTTGTTTTGAATTACTTTCTTTGGTTTGAATAGAATTTGGGTGGCGATGCTGTTCATGGGATTTTGTGATGTGCAACCTTATGCATTAAAAGGTTCATTCATGTAACTACTTCCCATCTTGGTGGCTATGTGATTTTCAGTGTTCTTTATAATTATTAATATATGTTGTTGTATTTGCTATGGTAATGACATCGTGCATGCTACATGTAATGTGGGTTTTAATGACGTTGGTTTTTCATAATGTTTTGTAGAGCAATGATGGAAAAAAATAACAAAGAGCTCAACCAATCATCAATAGTGATTTATATGATTGTCATCATTTGTTTGCGATCACAGTTAGCCACAGATACTACATGGTTTGAAAGTAACACATGACACAGATAACCGTATATATTATCTTGTCATATAACACACATAACAAAGTTAATCATAAATACTATCTTGTTTTAATACTTGTATGACACAGTTAACCACAGATAGTACATTGTCTTAAAGCCTGCATAATACAGTTAACATGTATATTGTCTAGTCATAAAGCCTGTGTGACACAGTCAACTACATATACTACCTAGTCTGAAAGCACACTTGACACTGTTAATCATAGATACTACCTGATCTTAAAACTTGAATAACAATTAACGCAGATACTATCTAGTCCTAAAGCATGCTTGATATAGTTAACCACATATACTATCTGGTTTTAACACACACTTGACATAGTTAACCATAAATACTTTCTAGTTTTAAAGCCTGTGTAATGCAGTTAACCACAGATACTACCTGATTTTAAAGTCTGCATGACACAATCAATAGATACTACCAGTCCTTATAGTAGATTTGATATAGTTAACCATATATACTACCTAGTCTTAAAGCCTTCATAACAGAGTTAATCACATATACCATTTGGTCTTAAAGTCTGTAAGACACAGTCGACCACATATACTACCTGGTCTTAAAGCCTGTATGACACTGTTTATATGATTATCAAATGCACTTGATGATCTTGAATGGAGCAATTTTTGATAAATTGATCCTACGGAGCTTTAATTTGGTTTTTAATTTTTTAAATTATATTTTTAATTTTAAGCTAAATTATATAATTTCCTTAAATTTTTATCTTAATGATATATCAGTTGGAAAACTAAATGAAAGCTAGTTTGGAGAGGGATGTGAAGATTATATTCTGTAATTTATGTGTGAAAGAGATGACAACAAAACATAAAAACAAGTTTTCATGAAAAAAGTGGGACTGGATGATAAAACTTAGTTGAAGAACAAATGAGATTAATCAAAAATATGGAAATTATCGAATAACTTGAAGAGAGAGGCAATTAGATTATGTTGGGACCCTATTAAGATAATAGTAGATGCATCAGAGGAATGGTGGAAAGAAAACATTTAAGTAAATAGAAAATATTATGTGAATTCTTTATATTCTCATATTACTTGAACTATGATCTTATCAATGTAGGTCCTATCCAATGCCAAAAAAAAAAAAAAAAGGGGATTTCTGGATTAAGCCTTGAGTTGGAGGAAAAAATTTGATTCTATTTTTCTCGGTGGTGTCTACGGGTCCAATGTCTGGGCAGCAACATAAGACTTTTCTTAGAATTTGGATGAGCCCAAATATGCTCATTCAAATGAAGTCAAAGAGGAAGCACTACAGGAGATAAAATTAAGTGAATCAAGTCATTCCAAGTGCTTTGCACCCATCATCTGGAAGCATAAAAAGAAAATAAAGGGCGACACCAAACATTTATTTGAGCAGATTTCACAGCTCGTTATAAATTGCACCAATATGATTTCAAGTGCTTGCACAACTATTGAGGGATATCCAACTATGACACAAGTTGTGAAGCTACCATACTCCAGTCTTGAGATATTTAATAATATATCACTATTTTTATTTACTACAAAACTTCTAGAGGATCGATCAAACGAGAGGCTTTCATTATGATGGTTCCCGAATAGAGGGTTCCTTGCCTCAGCTATTTTTTAAACAATCGGTGGAGTTAATTTGTGTTCTTAATTTGTAATCATTTAAACTTTTATGACGGTCAAAGCAGGGTCTTTTTTCATTTGCCCAAGCATTTAATTTGCCCAAGCCCAAACAAGAATGAAGTGGAGTCTACATGCAGGTAAAAGCGTTCAGTGGTAGAGAAAAAGAAAAAAGAGGGGTCTGCTTTCATTAGAAGCCAAATGTCAAAACTGGTGGCTTTATGTACCAGTGACCCTGAGACTTCACGAACGACCTCGTTATCCGAGTTTTGGAGGCAACTGCAAAAATGTATGAGGACATGTTCTATTTTAACTCTATGAAGTTGCTGGAGGACCCGAATGAAGATGGCCTTTGATCGTAGGGTCAAGTATTTACATTTTTTTTTACAACAATAGGGACCATTGTTGTTATTCAGTTTTCTTTGCATTATTTGTGTTTATATTCCTGTAGGTTTATCACATTTCTGATTTCGATGTTTTTTCTTTTTCCTTGGAACAATGTTAATGATATTTTGGATGTTTTTTTTTCATCTTACACTTTGTAATTCATTATGTGAAGTTCATTAAAGCTGTTTGATTCACATGTCTTACCTGAACAGAGCATTTGTTCAACATGAATTGGTAAAGAGAGGGACACAAAAGGAGAATTGTGGCAGCAATATGTTTGATATACGAATATTTTAACTCATATGTAGATCTGTCTCCTCGCATGACATCATCTTATATTGGTGATGAATGGGTTGAGGAGCTACTTGAAGAAACCCTGCATGATTCAACTTGTTTCGTATGACACAACCCATGTTTGTAAATTTTTTGGATGAATTATATAGAAATTATGAACTTCATTGCTCCTCTAGAATGACAAACAGAGAGGTGTTAGCAACAATCCTTTACATTTTGTCACAAAATAAATCAATGAGAGGAACAATGGAGCAATTTCAACATTCATGTGAGACAATCAACAGATACTTTTCAGTGGGGTTGAATGTTCTTGTTAGTTAGTCATCAAAGATTATCAAGTCAGAAGATCAACATTTGAGAGGACTTTAATAAAGATTGCAAATGACACGCGGTATATGTTATTTTTTAAGGTAAATCTTTTTATTCATTATGTGTTTAGATGTAAAGCACAAGCCAGCTTACATAAGTTTTTTTATAACAATCGTGATTGTTGAATATAATATTATTTTATGTCGTTGCTACATTGATTTGCTTTGTTGTATTCTCTACATGTACTCGTTATATTTATGTTGCGGGACATGTTTATTTGATGTGATTTCATCATTCTATTGATACTGAATTACTTTCTTAGAGAAATCATGAATAACAGTAAATTGCTCCGGAAAAAAATAATTGCATCAGCTATATGCTTGATACTTGAGTACTATAACTCATATATTGTGCGTACTCCTTGCATGACATTATCGTACGTTGGGACAAATGGATTTGAGAGTTACTTGCACTTCACCCAACTAGATTTCACAACATTTTTTGTATGGCCTAAGATGTTTTCTTAGATCTAATGGAGGAACTACATCAAAATCATGACCTCCATAGATGCTTTAGAATGTCTTTGAGAGAAGTGTTAGCGAT